TTAGGTGAAGATTTCTTTCCTAACATCCAACCTAAACCTTCCTTGACACAAGTACATGCCATTTTCTCAGGCCACTGGTCAGCAGAGAGAAGAGATCAGTGTCTGCCCCTCTGCTTCCCCTTGTGAGGAAGTTGCAGACAGTAATGAGGTTGCAATAGCTCTTATTTCTATGATGTCTGTTTTCTTTTGTGGCCTCAGCATTAACTGATGCAACCTGTTCCAGCTAAGCAGATAAGTTTTTAATGTTTACTAAGTTAACAGACAGTCTAGACTCTGAATAGTGTAATTATTTCTTATACTGGAGATAAAATTTTACTTTTAATTCCATAATATGGATTCCATATCCTGGATATGGATATGGCTATTTCAGGATATGGCTGCTGTTTTTTGTTTCTTCCTGAGCTTTTGGTATAACTCTTTCTGTCCTTGTAGGTAGATAGAAAATAATGGGTGAGAAAAAAAAAAAAAAAAAAGCCCAAAAAAAGGAGAGCATTTATTTTTGATTTTCATTTGGGCAATATCAGTGAGAGTGATGTATTCATCTAAATAATTAATTTTGTATAATGTGTTTCATTGATTGTAAATTGAATCTAAGGATTTCCCAGCATTTTGCACGTACTACATTAAATTTGCAATCATTAAGCCTCTACAGTTGTCCTTACACTGTTTTATTTCTTTGTATGGTATATATTTTTTTTAAATGTTTTGATATCAAATGTGTTAGCAATTGGCTTTATCTGTGAACTATATGTGAAAATTTGGAAGTCAGAAGAGTTTTTTGGGTTTGGAATGTAAAAATGATAGGGAAATATACATCAGCTTTCTATATATGCCATTTTCAGCATACCAATTCCCAGAAATCTATATTAATTGTGGAATTTTGTTCCATGGTTTTTGTTACCAATTCATGTTTTCTTTATTCAACTGTCTTTTTTTTTTAACTGTATAAAATACATTTCTTAGATTTCATAGACATTGTACTGCTGAATTTTTTACAACTTCTCTAACAACTTCAGCTGTTTCCACTTGAACTTTCCAATCTGCTTCTCTGTATTGATTTGTTTTCCAGTGATTTTCAGTCTCTCTTTTTTATATTTTTCTATTTTTTTCTCATGCTATTTGGTTTTTTTATAATGTCTGATTTTTTGTTGGTATTTTTGATTCTCCTATCCACCCTTTTCTTCCCACAACAGAAGTTCTGTTGCCATATATGAAAAAAAGGTCCTTATTTTTCATGAGTGTTTTTATTCTTTTTTTCTTGTAGTTGTTGTTTGTATTTATTTTGTAAAGGGGAGTTTATGTAGAATAATAGGTAAAGTAATAGTTATTATTAGATTACTATAAACACTTTTTGGCTTTCTGCTAATAGATATGCTCTTTATCAAATTCTGTGTGTAAATGTGAAAGAGTGGTACAAGAAATAACACCCCTTGACACTGTACAGTCATCAACTAGAAATGCTGGCTTAAAGAGATGAGGAGAGTGGCATTCAATGCTCTTTTCTCTCTATTTCTTTAGGAAACTGATCAATTTCCAGAGTGATAAAGACTAGGTTTCAGAAGAATAATGTAATTAACTTTATATTACTATAAAATAATACTATGATATTTAAAATAAATATTATTTATTTTAATTAGCAAATACATTTAACAATAATTTAGGAGTTTGATATCTCATGCAATTATCTTACTAATTAATGAAAATTTCTTTATGCTATTGAAGTAAAAAAGAAGTGCAGTTTCTCATTTCTAGATCTGCCAATATAGAACTATAGTTAAAATATTTTTGATTATTGGAATCACTATTTAACTATTTCAAGAGCATTTTCTTAATTAGAGTTTTCTTAGTTTTCATTTTCATACACATAGCTATAACTAAAAACAACAAAGGGGCAAGACCGCAACATGTAATACAGTTTTAAATGCATTCCAAAACAGTTTTGCCACTACTTTTGTCAGATTAACTAGCAAGTGCAGAAGACAGACAATTATTATTGTGTCTCTATTACCTAGGTTGAGAAGAACTTGCTGCTTCAGTTTATCGTGTAACTTCCCATAGCTCAACTCTACCAGCCTTGGGAGCAGAGAATGGAGATCAACTACAGATGAACAACTTTCCTTCATCTACTTAGAAATGTCACTTTTTTTTCTGCCAGTTACCTGAGGTCCTCAGTAATACTATATGTTCTCTTGGCAATCTATCAAAGGATGCAACGAAAAATCACATTCAATTTTCCTTTCTGACACTTGTGCATTATTCTGCCTTTGGTCTCCAGGTGAATGTACCATTTTTTCTGCAGTGATGATGGATATAATATTGGCAGTAAACAATAAGCACAGTCAATCCAGGATATAAGATTTTTCCACGTGATTATTTATATATAAACAATGACAGTGATTTGAAACTGTTCAGATTTTGATAATAAATTTTTTTTTCCTGATAGGAGCTTTACAGGGCAAAGCGCAGAGGCAGAAGTCAGGAAGCATAAAAGCAATTTAATTTATTACAAGCTCCATAGCTAATTGTCACTTTGTCACCATGGAACTTAAAATAGATCTGTAAAAGATAAGTTGTATTGTGCTAAATGTTCATCTGCAAAACCCGATCATTCAGAAGAATTCAAATGGGGGTCAATTTGAAGGAAGATAGAGGACACCGAGATTCAGGGCAAGGACCTATTACAAAGGATGTATCTCCTCATGGTGGTGAAACATGCACATTTTGCATCACTATGCTCCTGTTAGTTCCCTGGGAATTCATTATAGGGCCTTACACTAAGCCGTAACTACTGTGCTGCAATGATTTCCAGCAATGTTGGTGGAACTTTTGCATCTCATCTCATTTAATTATTTATTTTATTTTTAACTCACCCTAACAGTCTCTTGAGCTACACAGCTCATTTTCATGAAAGCTCCCAGAAGAAGGCTATAACACAAGTCAACTTCCCAGTTGCATGCATCTTTATAACAAAAGCATTAAATCAAGACATTTACTCTGAAGCTGCAGACAAGAGCAATGAGCAGGTAGCATCTCAGTATGTTAGCTTCAATTCAAGGGATTTCAGAAAGTTAATTTTTTCTGTCCTTCTGTTCAGTTTTCTTGTCTAGTCTTTGTTTTATTGTCTCTGTTTTATTGTCTCCTCTGTGTTAACTGTATGATCTGTTTCCATCTGAACTTTCCCCTGTAGACACACTCTGATGTCTTCAAGGTAGATTTGAGGGGTTTTTGGGGTTCATGTCAGGTCTTTATTAAATGCTTATTCTAGGCATTTAGTAGGAGAGTGCTGAAATAAGGACCTTTGTTCTGAGGATTAATTAGACTTTGGCCTTAAAGATGTTTACCAGAGGTATAACATTTCAAAGAATTGACATTTAAAACCCCTCCTCTTTTGATTGTTGAATTTGTCTCTGTGGAAATCATTCTTTAGGCTTCATGTACAATTCAGGAACTGTTGAAGGCATGAATTTCTAAGTATGAGTATAACAGGAAGTAAATATTGCAGTGTTTTTTCCTGCTGCTGCTGTTGTTGTTATTTATTAGTATTATTAGTATTACTAATAAGCATATTTGTTCAGAATAAAGAATTTTAAAACTTTAATTTTCAATTCAGGTGTTTAAAATTAAATCTCTTAATTGAATTTAATAAAATAGTGTTTTTACTAAATAAAAACATATTGTTTCCTAGTTAATGTTAATGCTAAGATGAACAGACCTTTTTTAAGATGAAAAAGCCCTCCATATTTTGCTGGGTTTTTTTCCTTATTTTTTCCAATATATTTTTAATATTATATTAAATATTACAATACAAATGTATATTATTTATAATATGTATGATACACATATAAACACATTATATCTATATCTATATTCATATAATATGTCATTAATATTTGTTCTGACTCATATGTGACTGTGGCATAACAATTTGCAACATCTTGTTTTGGTTTGTTTGTTTGTTTTTTTTCCCCTATGGATGACTTCTGAGAGGGAAGAGAAACAAAGTTGTGTTTAGTAAATCTTGATTTGTGGGTAGCTTCTGCTGCTCATATCTACATTTTTATGAAGCAAGAATTTTCCATCACAACTATTCCCACAGATTTTGTAAAAGAAAATTTAATAGTAATAATCTAAAATGCATTTTAAATGTGCTATCCTGAGAAATCTCAATGCACTTTACATACTATTTGTAAGCTATTACTTGCTGCTTGTGGTCTAGATAACTGAAAAAATTGTTACTTTAATGTAACTGTTTCTCTAAGGTTGAAGAAATATTTTACTTTCAAGGTATTTGGCTTTAAGCAGTACATCAACTTCCACATATATTCACATTTTACAATTGTAATAAAAGAGGTTACATTTTCCTTTTTTAGGTGGAGAAAATATTGTCGATATACTGAAAATACTGATATCAAAACAACATGAACTTCCTGTCAGTATGACTTTATTTTATGATGTCCTAGATGATATTGGTTTGAATTTATATAAAGCACAAGGTGTAAAATTGCATATTTTGACTGAAGCTTCCTGTCAGTATGCTCTAGTATTGACTCAGAATTTTCAAAGCCCATTTTGGTGGCATTCTTTCAAAACCCAGTATAGACTAGGTATTTTTCATCAAGCTGGAAATCTGTGTGGTGAATCAAAAACTCATGTGAAATGATTCAGAGATCACTATTTAATGACACTGTAGCACTGATTTTGTGCTACTGCCAGACTAGGTCAATGTTTTGTGGGTAAAAGCCAAAGAAACTGTTCTGAATCATCCAGGTTTTAATGATGTGAGTGTTTTCACAGCTTATGGGAGCCATGCTTAGTGTATTCTAACATAAACAATCAGGAAATGCTTTTACATGAAGGATTGAAAGTTTTAGTTCCAATGACAGTCTTTGGCTGAGTGCTTAGTACAACTTAGTACAACTTTGAGTGTAATCTAAGGTCAGAAACCTGAAAATTTCTGGTTTTAGTGATGAGTAAGTGTCTTTCTTTCCTTTTCATATTAGATAGAAAATGGTCGGCTGTGGAACTCTATTGTGAAGACCTCAGAAGAAATACCAATTTTTCCAGTCAGCTTTTCATAATGTAAATACAATTTGAGCTTTCCCAAATGGGCAGCTAAACCATGAACAATCAGAAAAACCCAATTTGGACTGTGTTTCTGAAGCAGACTTCACCTTCTCCCTTGGGAATTTATTGAAGGATTACAGCTGAAAAGGAAAACTCTTGAAAGAAAACCTTGAACAGGAATCTTATCCTACAATGAGAATTACAAGTACATCTTGTATCTGCCCAGTCCTAGTTTGTCTCTGTTTTGTGCAAAGGTGTTATGGAGCTGCTCACCATGGCTCCATCAAGGTGACCAGAAATCAAACCAAACACATAGAAGGTGAAACAGAAGTGCATCATCGTCCAAAGCGTGGATGGGTGTGGAATCAGTTCTTTGTTTTAGAAGAACACATGGGACCAGATCCTCAATATGTAGGAAAGGTAAGGAGGTTGTTCTCTTTTGGGTTTGGTTTGTTTTTTTCCATTCCATGAAATGTGGCACAGATAAGAGGCAGATCATTTATTTCCTTAGATGGCACCTCCTCTTTTAATGGAAGACATCTCTTGGATTGCTACATATATTTACAGTGAACTTGCCACTTGCCTATGAGTACTGTGTTTATTATCAAAAGGATAAATAAAAGTATATAGGATGAAGATACTAAAATATGATAAAATAGTTTTTCTTCTTAGCTCAGCTAAACACAGAGTGTGTGCAGTTGATCCTGTTACATCAATTTCCAGAATCCTAAATGCATGGGGTCACTGCTAATGGCTTTTCCAGACTATTTCAGAATTATATTCAGTTCTGATTCAGGGAATATTACAAATGCAATCTAAGCTCCATAGGGTATTCATTCCACTCTGAGTGTAGGGTGTAAAAGGTCTCCTCCAAAAGGAAATACTTTGTGGCTTTTTTCATATGAGGAGATACAAGGTGTGTTACTTAGAGTTCCTCAGAAGTCTGTGAGAACAAGCCCTGCATTTATGTTCTGATATATAGAGTGAACTTCAGACATAATGTTCAGACTAATGGAATTGAACTGAAGCCTGGCCAGCTAAGTCTGATTCATCATGTGTGATGTTGTCTGTAGAGATTGGGTTTTAATTTTTAACAACTCTCTATATAGTTTCAACCCATGATATATGACAGAGGAAGTTTTGCTCTCCTTGAAGACTGTCTAGCTGCATTATGATAGATTTTTTTTAATTAGATAATCTACATGAGTCTTAATTTCCTTAATGAAATCAGAGAAATACATAGAATATGATGGGTAAAGTAAGATGGTTAATGGGGAAGAGGGCATGGAAAAAAGAATTATTTCATTTTAGTTTCCCTTGAAATTAGAAATTATGAAAATTATATTGTACAAAAATATGCAAGGGAAACAGTAGCCTCTGAAATCACAGATGTCTGGTAGCAAGGGCTTCCAAATTTGAAGAGTATCTTCTGAATTAAAAATAGGAAGTGGAACAACTGTATTTGAGAGACTGTTAACACAAAGGCTGAAAAAGAAAAGTATTTCAGAATGACAAAAATTATTGAGATATGTGAAGGAAATGTAAACTGAGAAAGGACCTTTCAAAATGGAGGTAATTGTTTGCATTGAAAGAGAAGCTTATAAAAGGGGTAAGGGGATGGGGAGATATACCTTCAGACTGCTTTACATTGATTAACATTTTCATAAATGATTTTGGAATAGAAAAAAATTTGCATAAATATTGATGCAAAGCTATGCAGGAGAATCAAAATACTGTCTGGAAAGAGCTAGATATTAAGAATATGGTTTGGATAGAGAAATAAAGAGTAAACCTTGGAAATACAGAACAATGTAAAGAATTTCTGTTATACACTAGTGATTTATTGTAATTGATGGTGGAAGAGAAAGAGCTGGTTATCAGGTCTAATGTCATGCCTTAAGGAAGGTGAATGTGATACTAAGCTGTAAAAGCTGATCTATAAAAAACAGGGATAACGGGCACTGAAGCCATTGCGGAAAATAATGTTGACCTATTTGCTATTCTGATTACTTTTAGACAAGAAAAATGGATTTATATTTGAAGCTGTACAGAAGGAATTGAATATTGTGGCTGGGATAGTAATGGAGAATAAAATATATTTGTTTAATTATTTCCACAAATAATAGAGGAGAGCACATAATATTCTGTAAATACACCTCTGAATAAACCACAACGAAAAATAAAAACTATTTAAGTTGATTGCAATTTTACTTGAAAAAATACGGTTTTGGTGGCCATGAGTTAATTTAGAATTAAGATTTAGTAAATTTAGAATGAAAACAAGAATAAGTCAGATTCTGAAAGAGGCTACTAACAGGAAGATAAAAAATAAAAGCTGAAGGTATTTCAAAGTACAGCATATTTTTCATTATGAAAGCTTTTATAGACATGACTGCTGCCAGAACAGAAGCCTGAATTCAGTTAGCTAAAGCATGGTCCCTTTCAATTTTATTTTCTTATGATGTTATATTATATTTCATTTCATCCTCTGACCACTCTATTAATGCCACATTTACAGAGATCAATGAATAGAATTTCTTTCAATCCTTTGTGATCAAAATGTGACTTCATGGCATGTTTGAAGACATTTCTGCCTGTGTGCTTACCAGTTTGTCTCCCATTTTCCTCAAATAATTCCTTCTGGTGCTCATAATTTTCTACTGTGAGTACTTCACAACATTAGTAAGATTGTCTTTGCAAAAGCTTAGTGGAACTTAAAAGCAACTCTACTCTAATTTCCATTCGGCGTGATTATTCTGATGACCTGATTTGAAGAAAAAATCAATTATATTAGCTGAGGCATATATTTTTAATTAAAAAAAAAAAAAAAAAAGGAGGGGGTTGGGGAGGGAGAAAGCCTGGCTGAGACTGTCATAATATCAGTAATTAGAAAAATTTCAGTAGTGGTCATTTAACACAAAAAACAGACATTTTAGAAGAATAGATTTGTTGCTAATGTTGCATAAAATTGTACACACCTCATCAAGGTCTCATTTTACATGCCTTTAATTTAGCAAGTAATTTTCACACAAAGCCCCTCAGTTATAAAGGAAGTCAGTGCCCTTTAATTCCAGGCTTCAGTTGGGTGGCAGCATGCTGTCAATTCTGTCAACTGTTAATTCTGTAGAATACTCTGCTTCACTGGTGAGGGTTCTGCCATTTCAGATCTGTCCTTTCACATATTTCACACCCAATTTGGGAGTAACATCACAGAAAGCAGAGTCATTATATACTATGTTGTTGTAATGCTCACAGTCACTGTCATGGAAATGCACAGCAAGGACAAGAATAGGGTAGGCCTGCAATGAAAATTGTAAGCTTCCTCATTTTTACTGTGAAATCACTGTCAAGAGGATGGATTAATTCACTGCCATCATCATAAAAACAGTGTTAGGACAAAAAAATTATGATTATATTTTAATATCAAGCATCCCCCCCCATTCCTCAGTACTTTTTCCTTTTCTCCAAGAAAATGTCATTTGGAGAATTCTGTATAGAATTAATCCCTATTAAACATACTCACAAAGTTTTTTCTAGGAACATGGCAAGGCACAGGTGCTGGAAAGATTAACTTGTTGTAGAAATGGAAAATGATCCCTTTGTAGATATTTTCTGCAGTTCCCAGATTATTGAGCTGGTTCCCTGCTGTTGCACGTGGGGTAATTCTTCAGTGTTTCAAAGTATATTTCACTCATGAAAGAACCCAAAAAATAGTTTTGTATTTAAAAAGATATCTTAAAAGTGTTTTAAACCATAGTGACTTATTTTACCAAAGTTATAAATTATTTGTGGATAGTTTCTGGAAAACTTCTGAATGATCAATGGTATTTGGAAGTGTTAGTTCAGAGAGACTATTCACCTGCAGGTGAAAGTATGTGTGTATGTGTGTGTCTGCATGGGTGTGTTTGCAATGCAGAATCTGCAGAATCTGAATTTTGAGTAACGAAGATAAAATATCATTGTCTCAGATAAGCAACTTGAATGCAGAGACTGAGCTTTCAGTTACATGAGACTTCTTGTCTTTTGTGTGTCTCTGATGTAAATTTCTAAAGAAATAGTAGCCATGAGTGCAGAAAGGGGCAGGGTTAGTGAACGCACTAGGACCTGGTGATGAATCAGTTACTTACTGCACCAGCTCAGAGGAATGAAGGTTTTCCTGCAGAAATCTATAAAAATTTGGGCTGTAATACTGCAAGCTTTTATATTTCCCAGTTGTCGTAGTTGACATCATTAACATTTCTCTTGCATTTTCTGAATTTTTCTAGGTTACATAACTCATGTCTCAACACTTGGAAAAAATAACAAATAAAGAATTTTAGGAAATAAGTGAAGAGGACTACATGTTGCAGTCCATGATATTTTTCATTTTGAACCTTCACACCTCTATCTCTAGAGGGCCTGCTCCTTCTTAAAAGGATATTTCTAAAAATCATTTGCACTAGAAGCAAGTCATAACTGCGCATTTGCTGTGCTTTTTTTTTTTGGAGAAGGAAGTAAATAAGCGGTGATAAAATGAAGGTCACTGTGGATTTGGGGCTGAGTGAGTCATGCTATTAAGACTGAATAGTAGAGGAATATGATGCACAAGACTGAAAATTTATCTGTGAACCCTTTGGATCTCTGAAATATCAAACCTATACCTCTTAATCCACTTCAGATGACTTCTGAAGAGTAAATAAGAATGACTGTTCAGGTATTCAGATCTGCATTAATTTTCAACTGCTTTTTCTTCCCTAGTTTGGGGGATGGCACTTCCCTTAGTTCTTACATGTTTACCTGAAATGCAAAAACAGTTTCAGATTAATGTTGACGTCGGAGATAAGGAAGTATGGGACAGTTGGAAATTAATGTGAATATAGGAAAGGGGAGAAGAAAGTAACAATTTTTAATGCGCCTTGAAATGTGTGCACTGAAAGTTAGATTAGGAAAGGAATCCCAGGTGTTATATTGGATTTACAAGATAGCAATTCTTTTAATTCATCATTTTATTAGTGAAAACATAAATACAGCATAACAGACTTGTCATTCAAAATTATTTTTTTTACAAAGTAATATGTGACATGTTATTGCAATAACAGTGAATCTAATCTTCCCAGCCCATATCAAGAAGATTTCCCATCTCTGATTTAATGACAGTAAGGGGACATTATATATGTTTTAGAATAAAGTCCAAGGAAGAAATAAAATTTGAGTTTAACAATTAAAACACTTTTATTTGATTTTAGATGTTTACATAAAGTAAAATATATCAGATGATTCAGCATTTTTAGCACAAGCAAATAGTTCCAAAATTTATTTTGATAAAAAGGGGTTTTATTTTACAGTAAAGAAAACTAAAAGGAAAGTGTAGATGACACAGTCTAAACATTTTGCACATGATTTGTTAGCCATTTTCATGCCTTTTTAAGAAGGTAGACGAG